TTACACCTTAATTGTCCCGTAATATTTCTTAATTGCCGTATATTCCTTAATTAATAATTCCTTAATTGCCATAAATGTCCTCCCGTTTTGCAATTACTCTGCAGTAGATTTCTTTCTAAATTTGTGATAAATGGCATTTATTTTTAGATAGAGTCACAGATATTTATATTTGGGTCTTCTAATTGATTCAATACGCACAAGAATTGGCGGAAATAGCGGAGACGTTAATAGCGGTTCATTGTACAGTAGAGATGTTTTAAATAATAACTCCTGTTCCTTGATAACTTAATTTTAGTTATATGTTTTATATGAAATTTCTATTGAGCAAAGAATGTTTTTTACTTGGATTTTTTAGCAACAGCGGTTAATAGTTTTTTGTTACATTTTAATTCTAATTAAGTCTTTGACCAAAATTTTGAACGAGGAGCAACAGCAAGCAGCTTTGCTGTTGACGAGCCTCGTGTAAAGTATTGCACGAGAAGATTTAATGTCAAATATTTTTAGAAAAATTGTAACTGGTGAATTATTGAATTATTTTTGACAAGTTATCTATGTGTTAAAAAAGGTTTATTTAATTTTCATCCAATGTAGCGCAAATTTTCAGAAACGGTTCTGTCAAAAACACAAAAAAGTGAAAAATCCAAGTTAACTTCTAAAAATAGTGAACAGCAATTGAGTTTAGTCGATGATAATGAGACAAATTCATGGTACTAATTGTACGACATGGAGGAAACGCGTCGAACATTTTTGCATCAGTTTTGATAGGCATCCTGCTGCAGTACGCAAGGGAAGCGTTGTATTGACGATAAGAGAACGGGAAGTTTTCCACATTTTGTCGAATTTACAGTTTGTAAAAATTTATCAATGATATTTAAAAAGTTTTCAAAATGGTAAACAACGCTACAAATACACGATGGTTGCAGAAGTTCAAGTTCGTAAAGTTTTAAGGAAAAAATGTTCAGGCTCATAAATTATAAAAAAAAAAAATTATGATAATATTCTGACGAGTTGTCAAGATCATTTGGTTACAGTCGCAGAATTGCTTAAGATTTTGTTGACACTAAAGCACTGCCAATTTAAATTAGAGTCTGCGGAGGTTTGGCGCTTTCCTTAACGACCACGTCATTAACGCTCCTTTGAAGGCGGCCTAGAGATGCCGAGGCTGAGAAATAAAGGAAGAAATTAGAAATAAGAAACAAGCGAACGCTGAAATAGGAAATGAGCAAGAAGCAAAGGCTGAAATAAGAGTAAAACAAACATTCTCGATCAATTCATCGAAGATTTTTTAGTCGGACTTACTGTGAATTAAGTCCGACCTGTGAATTAAGTCCGACCTGTGAATTAAGTCCGATCTGAATTATCACCCAAGCGTTCAATTCACAACCAATCGATTTGCTATATGAATCGATTTAGACAGAAATATGCCTTTCTAGAGGAAAATATGATTAATTGTGCATTTTCAAATTTCTGATAATTATATTTAATTTGAATATTTCATCTGTAAGATCTTTCATTGACATGTGATTTAGTCGTCAAACGTTGCTAATTAAGCTGCGTTTCGAACCTTTAAGATCCATAATTCAAGTCACGAATAATCTATTCGAGGTTGACCCACGCTTCGTGAAATTTAGATACCGTTCTACGCCATGGCTGAACTATATTCCACCGAGTTATTAGTTCAATCATGATTCAAGTCACCAATGTGTTCTTAAAAACCAAAATACGAGTACTCGATTTTACAGGCCTTAACTTTATTGCCTAAACAATGATTAATTTCGTTAAATTTGGCATAAATTGTCAAAAGAAATTTATGAAATTTCAAAGCAAACATATATAATTTCCTTAAAATTCAATTAAAATTTCGGTCACAATGGCAGCCACGAGACTCTATGAGTTCAGCTAAGTTAGCGGATTCAACGCAGCGAGCGATGTCCCGGGGCCATACTTTCAAAAAAGTTAAGAGATTGTAAGTTCATCAGCCAATCATTGACGGCCTTTCAAGCAAAATCCACCAATCATAGACAAGAAAATAGAGCGTAAGTACTTTCGTTAACTTAGCGAGTTTTGAATGTATGGCCCCTGCTTTCGATTTGCCGCGCATGATACGAGTTTTTTGTGGCCGACTGTCTTAGTGAGTTACGGTCAACTTCGGAATGTGGCACACAATTGTGACTGAAATTTTTTACAGTTTCTAATCCATGTAAAAATATTAGTTTATAACGAAAACATTTTGCAGTTGAATAGAATATCTTAACGCTCATAAATCGATTGCCCATACTTCTAAGCAGAGTAATCCTGTATAACGACTCGTTCTGCTTTTGTCTTTTCGAATACTAGGACGAATGGTATTCTTAACTTGTTTTCTAACTCAAATTTTTACGTATTTCAGGTACGGATTATTTAGGTATTTGAGCTAGGCCTTAAAAAATAATACGTCTGGCGACCAACTTCAACATTGAGAAGCATGTTTCCTTGATCATGAGGTCAGATGTTACTAGCGCAAGCTGTCACAACGAAATACAGAATTCATTGTAGTAAATAATGATCGATGTATTTCAGCAGTTTTAAATAGGCCGTATCGTACTAATTTCGCTTCCATAATTATAATAAGCGACGGGGAATCAAGAGTGACAGTGCGCTGGAACTGACGCGCGTACGTGGCATCGAAAAATAAGGAAGCCTGTTGTCGCTGCAAGGCATGTACAGCGTCGCCGCGGATAATTTGGATGTATGAATGGAAATTTTTCTTTGGTGAGTGAAAATTTTATTTATTTCGTATCGAAGGGAGTATCTCGAATTATACAGAGACTGCATCTTCCTTGATCCTACTAAACGCAGGTAATACAATTTATTCTCTGAGCCAAATAAGTGAATTACACCATCAGATTCTGAGCCGTCAGTGTGAACATGGATCGAGTTTGCATGCCCAGTAGACATGCCCTGTAAACACAGGATTGCTTACATTGCAAGCACAGGTTAGGAAGTAGTTATTGAGAGTGATTATATTGGACGTGAACGGCCATATATTGTTATATATTGTGACAATTGGTCATAATATATATATTGTTCCTCGAGATTGTGATGGTCAAGAGGCCGTCCCGTGCGATGGGATCACCATAGTAGATGAACCTAACGAACTTTATTATGAACGATTAACAGTTCTAAGTTTCGCTGAAAACAAATTTAGATAGAAATCATTTCCAAATCCCATCTAATTGAAATTAAGATTGAAAGGAAAGGTGAAGAAAGTAATGCAGCATTTCAATATACGCTTTTATGGAACAATCAATCAACACTCAGAATCAACAGCTCTTAGATGATAGGACTCAGCCTCAAGATAATCGGAATGCAGACGCGCTTACCAACGCTGGGACAGCGATATACGTTGTTCAGAGAGTGGGAGAGGGAGAGAGAGTGGGAGAGAGGGAGGGAGAGGGAGAGAGGGAAGGAGAGAGGGAGGGAGAGAGAGGGAGGGAGAGAGAGGGAGGGAGAGAGTGGGAGGGAGAGAGTGGAAGTGAGGGAGGATAACAACAAACAAGAGATGATGCAACTCTAGCACAGCGAATCAAAACAGACGAAAAAGAGGTTTCCACACAACATCGATGACCAAAAATTTCGCTATTACGGAGGCTTTGGGGCCATCATATACTTTTTTCAAGAAAAATTTCTTATCAACCGCGCAAGGCTGTCACCCAAAGCGTTTTACAAAATTTCGTATCTAATTTTCAAAATTCAAGCTGAGTGAAAATTTAGTCCTGATGTGACATTGGTCTATAAATTTCAGTGTATAGTGTTAGGAACATGCTGGTGTTAATGTTTGCATGTCTTCTCTTTTCAGGTGATAATTTAGTCGAAGAAAGCTCAATTCTAGCCAACCTTTGTTTGAGACCTATAAGACTTTCAGGTCCATTTCAAGTCCACAGGAAGATCAACAGAATTTCTGCAGTGAAATGATTTCGGAACAAATCACGGCGATATCGGTGATGAAGCAATCACTCCACATATGGTGCGCTGCCGAACTCGTTAATAAATGAACAATACAAATTATTTGCTTTTTGTTAAATTGATTAATAATAATATTTACACCAATACAGCCACACACAAACAAAAACCCCACATAATTCCGATCGAAATCGAGGAATGTCAAGGTCTCTCTATGGTAAGCAGACCGACACCAATGATCTCACCACAACTCAGTCATGTACAGGCGCTTTTCCTGAACATTGACAACTACAGAGATTAGAGACTCCGAAATAAACGAATTACAAAACGGGTGCAAGTAAGGCAATCAATGATAGAATAGAATAGAATAGAAGTGTCGGCGTTGAAGAAATAGGCCCATTTATGGCCTGTTGCCGATTCTTGAACTTTTCGTGACTTGATTCACAAGGGATCCGGCCTTTGAAACCCGATCTTTCCATAGCTGACGATTGATTGAGATACCCTGATGATTGATTGATGATACCCTGATGATTGATTGATTATACCCTGATGAAGGGTATAACTTTTAAAATCTATTTCAGGAATCACCATTCAATGGACGAAAGGTAATACAGAATAAGCCCCCTCAGGGGGGACTTCTTACGTGTGTCTGTGCTCGTCAGAAGTCCTATAAGATCTCGCGCTCCTAGGGGGATTGTCCCTGAGCGCCCCACCGCTGAGCTCGCGGTGTCTGACTGCAGATCTTAGTTGTGGGGTTAAGTTATTATGTAGGTAGGATTCCTTACATTTCCCTTCTCTGTCTCTCTCGTGCGGGCGGCCGACATCCCATGTAAGCGACCTCTTGTTCGAGTGTCTTCGTTTCTGTTGTATTTCACCTGTCCCTCCTTGTCACTTCGTCTCTTTGAGATGCTAACGCTGCTTCTTTCGAGCCAGCTTCAGCGGGCAAGACAATTGAGACCTTCCGCCCCTTGTGGGTGATGATTAACTTGAGATTTTGAATAATTGCATGAGACCTTCCGCCTTGCTGGCGATGTTATATTTTGACCTTCGGTGCGAAATAGCTTGATAGCTGAAGCGCTAGCAAACCATTATACTACTACTACTACTACAGAATAAGCATTCAGAAATGACACGTCTCAAATAAACTATACTCAATAGGTGACAAAATTGAGATGAATATAGCACGGAATCAGCGACCAATGGTTATTATGCTGCTTCTAGCATTACCAGAGAGTCGGTATTCAAGTGTCAACACATAATTCCCTGCAGGTCCAACAAACAATAAAATTAGTTTGCTGCGCATGGTCAGAGGCAGTAAAAGCTTCCTAATAGAACATGAAGATAACCACAACCCTATGTTACGATATGCATCCTTACACCCAAACTTACGTTACAATAGACATTTCATTTTCTGCCACATTATTGCAAGAAATAACTACTACGCTTATAGGTACATGAATTGAATAATTCATGTTCAGTACAATACAGTCATGTTCAACACACTGAATAATACAGACATGTTAAACTACACCACATACATTATTTCAAACCAACTATATTCTGCACTTATTCGAGCAACAATATCAATTGATGGTTGAACTCCAATAAGGTAGAGGAAGAACTGGACCTGGCGTGACAGTACCAGACTTGCAAACAGACATAGTCCGTTAGAAGTGAGCTAAACTTTGATACAAATGCACTGAATTTCACATAAATTTGTGTTTTCGCGAGGGGAATTATGTATGTAAAGAAAGCATCAACGTTATGTTACAGAAAGAACCGGAAAATGTTACTGAGCTTCAATAGTTCATCTGAATAGACTCAGAAGCAAGGTCAGTAATAGCGGAGTGCATTGAGTTCATCGCATCTACGGTCCTACTAAATGCAAAATAAAAAAAAACCCACCGCAAATAAAAATTCTAGCACCGTATTTTAAAATGCTTGGCGTAGCGTTGATAAATAGTCTTCTTTGCCAAATTAGGACGATGAGAATTTATTCCAACCTAGAGACTTGACTTGAGTAACGTGAACAACGTGTGCTGAACATTGAGTCAACTGAAGAGAACTAGTCATTATTTAGCAATTATTAGCGTACAACCAGCGAGGTATTGTAACATCGGAACCTGCACGATTTACCTTCACAACCAAGTGTCCTTCTTATGTTAATGTCATCATAAAAATGTTCTACAAAATTAGATGATTTAAAGCGAATACAGCATGGTATTTTATTGACAAATATGAGAGTTAACAGACATTAACGAACCGTCATATAAAAAACGTAAAAATAAATCGTTATTAAATAAAGGGCTAGACAAGCTATCAGTACATGAATGAATTCAATGAGGGAGTTCAAGAAATTAAATTATTCGAACGGGTAATATTATAGCATAAAGGTTTGTATTCACGGATAAAAGGATTTAACCAGATAACGACACAATAAGCTGGTCTAAATGCTGACGAAGAACGACTTCTAGGATAGGTTCGTTAGCGAATCTTGAACATGAAGAATAGCAAGAGTTTCAGTTGAAGCTGTATGTGAGTGCTCTAGAAACTGCAGCGAGGTTGTCCACATTTCGAATTGGTGGTTTTGTCCAAACGTTAGAGTGACAGACGACAGTGCGAGAGAAACATTTCTGGTGGTCATTAATTAAATCAGTGGCAGACGTTGGAATGAGGTGCCATATTGGAAGAGAAGAATGAAATTCTAGCAAATTATTATCATTCAAAGAGCAGTTGAGAAGAGAGATATATGTCGAGATATCAACAAATAACAATATCAGGGTAAGGGAGCTGCAGCGTGAGAGGCTTGAGGCCGGTGACGGGGTGGCACGCTGCGACGGTCGAGGTCGGGGGGAAGGCCAGGCTGGAGGCCGGCGTGGCGGTCGACAGCGGCAGGCGACTGAACATTTCTGTGAGCTTCATCTGTAGCGGCTCAGGCTGCAACACAACAAAGAATATCAGCAATTACTTGTATCTTTAACATCTGTAGCGGCTCAGGCTGCAACACAACAAAGAATATCAGCAATTACTTGTATCTTTAACATCTGCAGCGGCTCAGGCTGCAACACAACAAAGAATATCAGCAATTACTTGAATCTTTAATCTCGCAAATCGCAAGTTCACCTAAAATTTAAAAGCGACGGAAACGCCAAGTAAATTTATCATATCTTCATTGCAAACGTTTGATTGCTAGCCCCCATTTTTAGGTGAAAAACTTTCGAAGTTTCATTTCATTTTACATTTCTGACAAAGCTTAATTTTCACACTTTCATTGTTAGGGAATTAGAATGAAAAGAACTTTACCTATAATGCGTGAAAAGTCTATACTACAAGAAAAAAATTAGACATAATTATAGACAATTTTGTAAATTATGGCTAATTTAGTCATTAATTAAATTAATAATAAAATTTATTAACTAAGACATAAATTTGATAGAAGTGTGATCAGTTTATCCAGATAAAAGGCGAAGTGACTGTCAAGCTTATTCTCTAGGCTCCACGAAATTAAATTTTCATACTGAAAATATGTTAGGCATTGTTGCAACTTTGCATAGAAGTTGAAGCTCTTGAAAATAGAAAATATTTTCAAAATAAATCAGCGATAAAAGAATGGCAAACTCAACGACATTAAAACGATGAACAAAATATCATTGGGTACGAGTCATGCATACCTGAGGTCTGGCAAGCAGGGCTGCATACGAGTCATGCATACCTGAGGTCTGGCGAGCAGGTCTGCATACGAGTCATGCATACCTGAGGTCTGGCGAGCAGGGCTGCGTACGAGTCATGTGTACCTGGGGTCTGGCGAGCAGGGCTGCATACGAGTCATGTGTACCTGGGGTCTGGCAAGCAGGGCTGCGTAGGAGTCATGCGTACCTGGGGTCTGGCGAGCAGGGCTGCGTACGAGTCATGTGTACCTGGGGTCTGGCGAGCAGGGCTGCGTAGGAGTCATGTGTACCTGGGGTCTGGCGAGCAGGGCTGCGTACGAGTCATGCGTACCTGGGGTCTGGCGAGCAGGGCTGCATACAAGTCATGTGTACCTGGGGTCTGGCAAGCAGGGCTGCGTAGGAGTCATGCGTACCTGGGGTCTGGCAAGCAGGGCTGCGTACGAGTCGTGCGTACCTGGGGTCTGGCGAGCAGGGCTGCGTAGGAGTCATGTGTACCTGGGGTCTGGCGAGCAGGGCTGCATACGAGTCATGCGTACCTGAGGTCTGGCAAGCAGGGCTGCATACGAGTCATGCGTACCTGGGGTCTGGCGAGCAGGGATGCATACGAGTCGTGCGTACCTGGGATCTGGCGAGCAGGGCTGCGTACGAGTTGTGCATACCTGGGGTCTGGCGGGCAGGGCTGCATACGAGTCGTGCATACCTGGGGTCTGGCGGGCAGGGCTGCGTATGAGTCATGCGTACCTGAGGTCTGGCAAGCAGGGCTGCATACGAGTCGTGCGTACCTGGGGTCTGGCGAGCAGGGCTGCGTACGAGTCGTGCATACCTGGGGTCTGGCGAGCAGAGCTGCGTGCAAGTCGCGCGTACCTGGGGTCTGGCGAGCAGGGCTTCATAAGAGTCGTGCAGGAGAGCGTAGGTCTGCTGACGCCGTCTCTCCTCCTCGCCCCTGAAGCGTTCACTCGCAGGCCCCGACATGAAGCCCAGGCCCGCGGCGGCGTTCTTGAACGCCTCGAACGGCACCGTCTCCACGCCCTGCCCCGCCTCACGCTGCACAAAATTCAGAGTCAGGACTCACTTGAAAAATTATTTGCTTATACTGTTCAAATTGATACACTTTCTTTCCGACCAAGGCAAGTGGGCCAAGATGGTACATAATGGGCAAAAAGTGCATCGCTAATTAGACAAAGTCTTACTCATTTCTCTGGATGCTTGGGAAGAAAAAATTTCGTGCATTTTCCTGCAACGGTCGAGTGAGGGATGATTAAATATTGATCACACATCACTGGTAGTGTGCTATGTTGCTATAATCAAGATGAACGGTTTTGTAGCGTTCTTTCTTAAATGGAAAAATAATACATTGCGGAACCAAGTTATCAAATTGATGCCCATAGCAATCAATGAGGTCAAGGAACAATTCCTGACACAACATTAAATGCCAAGAAAGTAATTTTCTTTTATTTCTTCGCAAGAAACTTCATAGTAAAGTTTATACGCTGGCTGGTTCCTGCCTATCACTGCAGCTTCACAAACATTTCAACATTAGCGAGTGCACAATCTATGCAGGCTGAGATCCATAAGGATGATCCATGTGATCCTCTTGCAAGACACACAGAGGTTCATCACGGATGATCTATAAGATCCTCCTGTCAGGCACACTGTAGTCCAATGTTTTGTGTCCTCCATGACGTAAAGAGCCACATCCTCACACGGAAGAACGCTGGCAACATCCACACATGCAACGACAATCATAGCCACTCATGTTAATCAAAGTTAATAAACAAAACTCGATGTCATGAGATATGCCCCGTGATTGGGGCCGCCGTACCCGAGCCAAGCCTGGGGAGGAAGCAGCGCTGTCCGTCTCCTCTTGGATGCTGTCCCCGGCCATGGGGAGGTGCGATGTCGTGTACGATGAGGAAGCCGTCGTGGACGCCCGCCTCAGGCTGCTCGTGCTGTTCGTACTCCCCAGCACTCGCTGCTTGTTCAAGCTGCAACCAAATGATAACTTAAACATCGTCTCATTTAACTTTATTGCAGTGATCACTATTCGAAAGGAAAATAAAGAGATTATATTGCAAAAAATCAGGTTTAAACGAGTAACCGGCAAATTAAAGATTTATTTTTACTTCAGCGAATAATAGTAAAAAATCAATGAGCCAAGTCTAATCACAAAAGAATTTAGCTGGTAGTTCAGAGAAGAACAATTTCCATGCCATTAGGGTAGTGATTGATTGGTTACTACGTATATACTTAGTATAAAGTACTATATATACTATATAGTAAGTTCAACTAAATATTAACAAGATAATTAAGGTTGGACACCAACTCTGCAGATGCCTTCAGTTTTATTTATCATATACTAAGAGGACATCCATCAGATTTTAAACGTCAAGAAGTCTGCTATCGGTCTAAATCTGTCCTGCCTTGTTCTTTATCTCATCCCAAATAATTAGAAGTTCAATGAAACTAATCTTCAATTAGGCATATTGCGTCAACTCATACATGAATATCATACACGAGATGAATTCAACGCGTCGCGGCGTTGGAAAGAAAGTCAACAGACCTGGTGGGCGCGAGGAGCGAGACGATCTCCTGCCTGTTGAAGAGGAGGTGGGGAGGTGGCAGAGTTTTTTGTGGAGTGACAGCGGTGGTTGCTTCCTCACTTGGCAGCATCCAGGCTGCTTCTGCTTGCCTGCAAAACAAAGAAAACAAATGAGCAACACATCCATGATATTTAAGACAAATATTAGGGTTCACTTATGTGATGATTTCTAGTTTCAGGAATTTTTCACGCTGCTCCTGCCTGTCTGCAAAGCAAAGAAACCAATGAGCAACACGCCCATGATATTCAACAAAAATATTAGGGTTCACTTATGTTGATTTCTAGTTTCAGGAATTCTTCAGCAGATGTTCTGGCAATATCGAAATATAGGAAGGGCGTGCATGTCTTACGTTCAAGTTATTTGTTGTTTCATTGTGAAGCGAGCATTTCGGACTCTAGGCAAGCGCCTATATTATAAATTTTATAATAGATTAGTTGAGTACAGTATAATGAGAGTCAATAATTGCATTATAATTGTCTTGTGTAATTTCGTTTGTTGCTATAATTGTGTAATCATGTGTTTGTTCATAAGAGTAAGAAGTCCTTTCGCCGATGCGCTTCACTCGTCTATTCCTCATCTCTACTTCAATTAACTGTCGAACCTGGATTAATCCTAATAAACCCAAACTTAACCATTGTAAGTTACCGTCAATAATTCAAAAAGAACCTGAACTAATAGAACTCATTACAACTTTCACTAAATAATATATTCGAACATACTTTAACCAACTGAAAGCGAACACTCTCTGGTATTGTCTCTACGTACTAATGAGTGAGACCGGCGTAATACATGCATTAGTTATAATTTAATACGTAATAATAATAATGAGATCACCGGCGCGTGATGACGGCCTGAACATGAGGACCAAGTTCAGGGACGATGACAGCAGCGACGACCATGACGGCGGCGACGGTGCTGTGCATGCTGGCGACCACGTCACCGCTCACGCTGCTGCTCAGGATGCTGCTGCTGCTCACTGTCACCGCCCACTCCTGTCACGTGGTCACCATTGGTAACAAGTTCATGCATTCGAAGAGTAACAGGAAGCGCCATAACATATATATAAGCAATATTTATGCCCAAAGAAACAAGTTAGTTTAGGCTAACGTCACCTCTCACACCTGTCACATGGTCAGCTTCGGTAACAAGTTCTTGCATTAAGAGTAACAGGAAGCGCCAGAGTGTAAATATAAGGAATATTTATGCCTAGAGTAACAAGCTTCTGCTAACGTCGCCGCATTTATAAGCAATATATATGCCCAATGTAATAAGTTTCTGCTCATATCTCCGCCCACTCCTGTCACGTGGTCAACTTTGGTAACAAGTTCATGCTTTCGAAGTGTTGCAGGAAGCGTTAGATTATAAATATGAACACTATTTATGCCCAGAGTAACAAGTTTCTGATAACGCCACCGCCCACTCTTGTAACGTGGTTAGCATTGGTAAGAAGTTCATGCCTTCGAAGGGTAACAGGAAGTGCCAGAGTATAAATATGAACAATATTTATGCCAACCCTATCATGACATATTTATTTAATTTGTTATATAAGTTTCTGCTAACGTCACCGCCCACTCGTGTCACCATTGGTAACAAATTCATGCCTTCGAAGCGTAACAAGAAGCGCCAGAGTATAAATATGAACAATTTTTATGCCCGAAATAACAAGTTTCCGATCATATCTCCGCCCGCTCCTGTCACGTGGTCAGCGTTATCAGTAAACTCCGATAGCTGATGGGTCTGAGAATCATTCGAACTTCACTTATATTTATTACGATGATTACTACACAAGATGAGTAATTACGCAGACTTATTTGATTACAATTATCTATCGAAATGCAACGAATTGAATGCAGCGGTCCAAACCTGCATGTTCAGCACGGTCCTGACCTGCATGTTCAGCACGGTCCTGACCTGCATGTTCAGCACGGCTGACCTGCATGTTCAGCACGGCTGACCTGCATGTTCAGCACGGTCCTGACCTGCATGTTCAGCACGGTACTGACCTGCATGTTCAGCACGGCTGANCAGCCGTCCTGCTCACACATATAATACATTGTATAGTCTGTCTGACAGCCGTCCTGCTCACACATATAATACATTGTATAGTCTGTCTGACAGCCGTCCTGCTCACACATATAATACATTGTATAGTCTGTCTGACAGCCGTCCTGCTCACACATATAATACATTGTATAGTCTGTCTGACAGCCGTCCTGCTCACACATATAATACATTGTATAGTCTGTCTGACAGCCGTCCTGCTTACACATATAATACATTGTATAGTCTGTCCTGAGCCGTCCTGCTCACACAGATCACACACTGTATAGTCTACTGCTGTGTTGGCTGTGTGGCTGCGGTCCTACCCACACTGAGGCCGCTACGTGTACTTAGATCACTACGTGTACATAAGCGAGTGTTGATTAAGTGACCCCTGAATCACCAACAGGTGATGTCTGAGACGCTCCTGAAGGATGTACCGCACCTGGACGGAGGAGAGAATCTCCAGGCCGCAGGTCGTCCAGAAGTTGGACTCCTGTGCGTTAGGGGGGCCTTCACGTGACGTCATACTCAGCCCCTCAGTTGACAACCTGCAACATATGATGCCAGCATTACTTCACGTGACGTCATACTCAGCCCCTCAGTTGACAACCTGCAACATATGATGCCAGCATTACTTCACGTGACGTCATACTCAGCCCCTCAGTTGACAACCTGCAACATATGATGCCGGCATTACTTCACGTGACGTCATACTCAGCCCCTCTGTTGACAACCTGCAACATATGATGCCAGCATTACTTCACGTGACGTCATACTCAGCCCCTCTGTTGACAACCTGCAACATATGATGCATTACTTCACGTGACGTCATACTCAGCCCCTCTGTTGACAACCTGCAACATATGATGCCGGCATTACTTCCATGTCTTCAGGGCTCAACAATATAACTATAATTCATGTAGTAGGTTTAGATTACCTTAATTGTTGCACGAGTAAGATGCAACATGAACGTTAGTAATATTATTCAGGTAACTGCGGCCCATTGGCGTCAGTTGAATGTCATAGAGCCATGAGATGTGGAAGCATAAGTGAATAATTCTGACAGATACTCTTACAAGAAGTTGATGTGAAAATTCGAAAATAACTTACCTGCTGTTGATAAGAATCTTCAAAAACATTTTAGCTCTGATTGATGTGAAAGGTTCTAAAATAGCTTACCTGCTCTGGATATGGAAGCTTGTAAATTGCAAATAATAATTTACAACTATAAAAGATGTCAACATGACTGCATGCTGCGAAAAAGTTTGAAGATATTCCTCCAATAAAATTTTACCTTTTTTTGAAACCAACAAAAACATCATACTCGCTGTCCATGTGGAAGCGCCTAAATCTAAAATAATAATTTGCAACCATGAAAACTCTCATTATGATCACATGTTTAGTATCCCTAGTGTTTCAGACGTTGCAGTCCTATGCCACTCTGGAGCGCTGGGCTTGAAGAAATACACTGAGACTGAAGACACACTAAGAAGAAGTAAGAGTGAAGACACACTAAGAAGAAGTAAGAGTGAAGACACACTAAGAAGAAGTAAGAGTGAAGACACACTAAAGAAAATATATTGAGAGAATGTTACTGACGTCGGGGCGACAGGGGCTTGAAGAAATGTACTAAGGAAATTTCATTTTAAAATGTAGGTACTTAAATGTAAGTTTCATGAGAGAATGTTACTGACGTCGGGGCTAGAGGGAGGCTGGAAGAAATGTACTTAGTAAATTTAATTTTAAAATGTACTTAAACGTAAATTCATGAGAACGTTACTGACGTAGGAGCGCAGGGCTTGAAGAAATATACTTAGTAATCTTCATTTTAAAACGTACTTAAACGTAAATTTCATGAGAGAATGTTACTGACGTAGGGGCTAGAGGGAGGCTGGAGTGGGGCAGCAGCGCGGACAGCACCTGCAGGATGAGACGTCGCACCGTCGCGTCGCTGCTCACCGACAGCCGCAGCATGCGCGCCAGGAACGTCGTCCTCAGGGACGCGTAGCTCAGGGGGTGCGTGTCACGACGCGCGATCTGCAACGTAAACACGTGTACAAGCAACATCTGTAACATAAACAAGCAACATCTGTAACGTGTACAAGCAACATCTGTAACATGTACAAGCAGCATCTGTAACGTGTACAAGCAACATCTGTAACGTGTACAAGCAGCATCTGTAACGTGTACAAGCAACATCTGTAACGTGTACAAGCAACATCTGTAACGTGTACAAGCAACATCTGTAACGTGTACAAGCAACATCTGTAACGTGTACAAGCAACATCTGTAACGTGTACAAGCAACATCTGTAACGTGTACAAGCAACATCTGTAACGTGTACAAGCAACATCTGTAACGTGTACAAGCAACATCTGTAACGTGTACAAGCAACATCTGTAACGTGTACAAGCAACATCTGTAACGTGTACAAGCAACATCTGTAACGTGTACAAGCAACATCTGTAACGTGTACAAGCAACATCTGTAACGTGTACAAGCAACATCTGTAACGTGTACAAGCAACATCTGTAACGTGTACAAGCAACATCTGTAACGTGTACAAGCAACATCTGTAACGTGTACAAGCAACATCTGTAACGTGTACAAGCAACATCTGTAACGTGTACAAGCAACATCTGTAACGTGTACAAGCAACATCTGTAACGTGTACAAGCAGCATCTGTAACGTGTACAAGCAACATCTGTAACATAAACAAGCAACATCTGTAACATAAACAAGCAACATCTGTAACGTGTACAAGCAGCATCTGTAACGTAAACAATATACAGTTGTAACGTAAACAATATAGGTACATCTGTAACGCACACAATATACATCTGTACCGCATGCAATACCTACAGCTAGCAATAGGCATGCCACGTCATTCAACTGTCAACAATAATGCGTTAATATTTAGATATTATTCGAATTGAATTTATCACCTGTTAATTACACTTTTATAAATTAATTGAATGATTCCATCTTTCAAACGACCAAATTGCTATTAAAACGACTACCTATAAATTTTGCATTCTTATAATAAATATGATGATTGTATTATATATGTCGTTTCATACTCCGCGACTAGGTTATATATCTTACAAAAAGCTAATTAATTGTGTTTTTTGGCTAAAAATTCAAGAAAAATAAAGTAATAAGGTATCTGACTGTAATAAAATCGCCCTCAAAGAAACGGTTTATAAAAAAGTACATTAATTGTCATGAGCAGGACAGAATTGACTAGAGAAGAAGTGTTATGTTTCACTCCTGTGGTTCCCATACAAACGAACAGTTTAACGGGTCGGACGAATTAAGTGATGGTGGCCTGGGGATCAAATGGTGTGCTTTCAGTTCATACTTGCAGGCAGTACGTGGTGGTGTGGCGTGGGTGGCGAGTCTGGCGTGTGTGACATGTGTGGAGTATGTGGCGGGTGTGGCGTGTGTAGCAAATGTGGCGTGTGTAGCAGATGTGGCACATGTGGCGGTTGTAGCAGGTGTAGCATGTGTGGCGGATGTGGCATGTGTCACGTGTGGCATAAGTGGCATGTGTGGCGGCTGTACCTTAAGGAGGCAGTTGAGGAGCAGCTGCTGTAGCCGCACCTCAGACGCGGGGCGCAGGCCCTCCTCCACCTTCTCGCTGCCCGGCACCTGCAACACAACCAAACCTTATTACTTAAGATCAACCCAAAGTAACAAGTAGCCAAGTACGTATTTAGAGTTCGTTTAGGGACACCAACCTAAAGCCATGCTGCAAGCACCACGCTCGACTGCGACCAGGCCCCGCCCACCAGCGACACCGAAAAATGAACTGTGCTTCCTAAGGCCAGCTCCTTTCATCAGCTCGTTTCATGTTAAGCTAGCGCTTAACAATAGCACGCAAATGTTCAAGAAAGAGAGCTACATTTTACGATTTTTATAAAGATTTAGGCAAAAGTCTTCTCAAGTAAGTTTATTTTTAGTAGGGGAGTTAACTTAAACCTTAATAGGGGCATAAATATACGATAGTAACGTCACGAAACTTCACAGTTTGACATGGGGTAAAAGAGAATTTAATGATTCATAGAATAAAACAGACATCAGATCTTAATCGGGTCCTAACCAGCATGTTCATACATGTATAAAATACTTGTTCTATTACCTCTAGTATTAGAACATGTATTTTCATTAACGAGAAAAATCGTGACCTTTGTGATTAAAAAGGCATGACCTGCCACTTGTGGTAGGTGATGCTCACCTTGGTCATTATGAAGGGCATGACCTGCCACTTGTGGTAGGTGATGCTCACCTTGGTCATTATGAAGGGCATGACCTGCCANTGGTAGTCAGGCAGGTGGTGCGTGTACTCAGCCAGGGCGTGCACCAGCTTGTCCTGGTACTGCTGCTGCTCCTCCTGGGCGACCATCACGCCCCCAGCCCCCACCGCCAGCTGGCTCACCCGCTCACTCATCGACAGGCGCACCAACTCCAGCAGCGAGTTGATCATCTCGATCACCGACGGCCCTGCGACAATATTGTGATGATTATTGATCGATCTATCAATGATCAATCTATCAATGATCGATCTATCAATGATCAATCTATCAATGATCGATCTATCAATGATAGATCAATGATCGATCTATTAGTGATAGATCGACGAGGGATCATCTGCAAGATCGTGGTGGTCAACAATTGATCATCGAATTATCAGCTGAGAGATCATGGTGGTCAATTAATCATCGAATTATCAGTTGTGAGATCATATCAAGGAACCAGCTGCTACAACGTAGCTATCAGCACATAGCTAATGATGATGATTAATCGATCATGATGAATTTTAAAAGAATATTTCCGAATCGTGATTCTTATGGTGACGAGCCTTTGCATTTAATTGTTCCGTCATCATGGCAAGTGTACATGAATGGCGTGAGGCGGTGGAACGGCGTGAGGCGGTGGAACTAAATATGAAGTGAGGCTCTAGCTTGAGCAATATATATAATGGATTGTTCCTGGTATATACCTACTTGAGCAATGAAAAATCGTTCAATCTATATGAAATTTTTCCAGGAGCAGATTTGTCCAGGATCAGGATCAAGAAAACTTTACACAAGGCTCACCTTAGAAACTCCTGGGCGAAACTACAATGCAAGGACAGTTTCACTTTTAGATACCAGACTAACATAGACTCGTGCAAGACAGTATAGAAGCCACTGACATGAAAGAGGACGCTCGCAAATAATAACTCCAAGACCCATTGGGCTCCCGAGTCTCGGCGCCCCGAAATCCCGAACACGAATGCCGCACCGACACATTCGCCCCAAGCCCCATTGTGCTCTCGAGTCTGGGCCCCCCCCGAAGGCCTCAACACGAATGCCGCACCGACACATTCGCCCCAAGCCCCATTGGGCTCTCGAGTCTGGGCCCCCCCGAAGGCCCCGCACAAGAATGCCGCACCGACACATTCGCCCCGAGCCTCACTGGGCTCCCAAGTCTGGGCCCCACGAGGCACGCACAAGAATGCCGCACCGACACATTCGCCCCGAGCCTCACTGGGCTCCCAAGTCTGGGCCCCACGAGGCACGCACAAGAATGCCGCACCGACACATTCGCCCCGAGCCTCACTGGGCTCCCAAGTCTGGGCCCCACGAGGCACGCACAAGAATGCCGCACCGACACATTCGCCCCGAGCCTCACTGGGCTCTCGAGTCTGGGCCCCCCCGAAGGCCCCGCACAAGAATGCCGCACCGACACATTCGCCCTGAGCCCCATTGTGCTCCCGAGTCTCGGCCCCACGAGGCACGCACAAGAATGCCGCACTGACACATTCGCCCCGAGCCCCATTGTGCTCCCGAGTCTCGGGCCCCCGAGGCCCCGAACAAGAATGCCTCACCGACACATTCGCCCGCAGAGATGGGGATGATCTGGCCCAGGACGGTGGCGATGCCGCAGCGCGAGGGCGACGTGCGATGTTCGCTCAGGTGGCTGCGTAACATCTCGATCACGTTGATGCTGAACTGCGCCTGTAACAACACATGCGACTGCTTACTTAGTCTTAGACTTAGTAAATACTAAGTACTTAGACTTAGTAAGTACCAAGTACTTAGACTTACTATGTGTGGTTATAGTTCTGTACAATTAAAGAGACCAAGTACCCTCACTTTATGGGCACCGTACTCATGGCCGGAATGTTAGATCTACCCTGACGTTGGACATCGACAGTACTGCAACAGACACTACATGTGGAATACATGAACACATCTCAGCAACATTGACTGCTGTCAAATTGAGCACTATTGTCCAATTAAAAAATCACTAACCAAAGGCAGAATATGCGTACAGTTTAGCTCTGAGCTTTACGAAGACGTAAATAGATGTAGACATGACCATCTCACTTGAATTGAGTACATGATGATCTTGAAGATGTGGAGGGCGATGAGCTCGTTCTTCCATTGCTTGTGCTGGTCCATATGCCTGCACACAACAGTTATATCGAGAACAATACATCGAGTGCAAGACAAGTGTCGCATTCACAGCGCACAAGAATGAATACAGAAACTGAAATCTACAATTTAATTTCTTAGTTTCTTCTTATTTTACTTTTTGGGAACTAGTCTGCCTGTCAAGACAGGCAGACATTTTTGTAGAATTCGCTGTTTTTTGTCTTCTTAATGGCAAAGTGTTGGCAAACTACAATTTCCTTTTCAAAATTTTGATCTTTACGCACAAAATATTGTACGTGTACTTCAGACAACTCGTCCATACCTTGATATCCTGCATCAATTCATGGGGGATTTAACTGCAAAAAAATCTGGACGAAGAATGAATAATATAACATGAAAATTTTCTACCTCAATAGACTTGAAATTTTTAAGAATCTATAACTCAGTCTCTGGATAGATGAAGCGTTGTCATTGCTTTCATATTTAAGCTGCGGTTAATTATAGTTACCAGCACTGGGCAAAGGATTTGTGACAACTGTTGAGATTTGAATAATTTCCAGGAGCTGTAATATCAAAATAGAGTTCGTACCTCGTCAGCCAGTCACAGACGACTCTTTCAGTTAAATCTTACAATCACAGACGAGAAAAAGACCGCTACATGTACTTAGGCCGCTACGCATACTTAGAACGCTACGTGTACTTAGGCCGCTACGTGTACTTAGAACGGCACGTGTACTTAGAACGCTACGTGTACTTAGGACGCTACGTGTATTTAGGACGCTACGTGTATTTAGGACGCTACGTGTACTTAGGCCGCTACGCGTACTTAGAACGCTACGTGTACTTAGGCCGCTACGTGTACTTAGGCCGCTACGTGTACTTAGGCCGCTACGTGTGCTTAGGCCGCTACGTGTACTTAGGCCACTACGTGTACTTAGGCCGCTACGTGTACTTAGGCCGCTACGTGTACTTAGGCCGCTACGTGTACTTAGAACGGCACGTGTACTTAGGACGCTACGTGTACTTAGGACGCTACGTGTACTTAGGCCGCTACAGAAACAGGAGTAAGACACAGGAATAAGACACAGGAATAAGACACAGCAGTAAGACACAGCAATAAGACACAAGACATACACAAGCAGAGGCCTGATGACGCTGCCGACTCTGCTGAAGGTGACGCGGGCCAGCAGCTCCCTGAGGCAGCTCTCAGCGAGCTCGGGGGGCGTCTTGCTGGCGCCCTCCACCGCGTCCGGAGCGTCACCGCCTTCAGCGCCGCCGTCGTCACCAGCCTTGCTCGTCTGCAGCGCTGCCTTGTCGCTGTCGTCCGCCTGTGGGTACTCACAAAGAAGGTTATATTGTCTAAATAATGACAAATTGCATGTACCGACTGTACGTCCATTTAGCGGGCAAAACTGGGTAAAATGGCCCATATAAGGGTAGAGCTGCATCGTAATTTAGACAACGTCTCAATTTTTATGAATGTGGCGTCGCTTTGAGGGAAACGAGTCAGACGCAATGCGTAGTTAACTGAGGAATCTTGCACGTTTTTGCATGATAGCGTCTGGGGAAAATTCAGAATTAAAAAAATTGAGAGCAGGAGTAGGTAGTTCACAATTGGACGGTGTTCAAAATTGTACTCCGAGCTTATGACTATGTACCATGAACTAAGTAGCATATGAGATGAACCCTCCATGAATAGCAATACCCAATATCAGATATAGGTATTAGACAAACTATTAAAGCTTCGAGCAGGAACGAGTAAATAGATACAAAAAATTCCTATTAAAAAATCTAATGCAACAGACTCATGTACCAAATAAAATTATACATTTTTCATTATATATTATTAAATATTCTACATTGATTCATAATAATTCATAAAATAAATGTAAAATTCAAAATTAAATTTTTTTGACATTCCACCAGCAATGAAAACGATGATGAAAATGAATTATTATTAAATATGACAGAAATTCAGGGGCCATACTTTCAAAACTCGCTAAGTGAACGTAAGTACTTACGCTCTATTTTCTTGACTATGATTGGTGGATTTTGCTTGAAAGGCCGTTAATGATTGGCTGATGAACTTACGATCTCTTAACTTTCTTTGAAAGTATAGGACTAGCAGAATAATGACCTGCAGTGCAGGAGCGTTCTGTATGTTGTAGAGCAGCGAGGGCACGAGCTTCTCCATGTGGCACGGCTGCCAAATGTTGTTCTCGCCCAGGTCGTTCCAGTCCGTCTTGCGCACCACGCCCTGACATCACGGACAAAAACTAAAACATTAACAAGGCGCTATGTACGTATCGACCCGGTGAATGTACGTATCGACCCGGTGAATGTACGTATCGACCCGGTGAATGTACGTATCGACCCGGTGAATGTACGTATCGACCTGGTGAATGTACGTATCGACCCGGTGAATGTACGTATCAATGCAACATCTACTCTTTATTCGCGCTGTTGCTAAGAAAGTGGGTCGGTATTTGGACAAAATGATACATTTATTTTTGTGAGCGCGGAATGTTAACAGGAATTTCCAGCAAAATAAAATCAACTACAGCATTAGCTAGGAGCAGCAGATGCACTTAAGAAGATAATTAATTGATCTTGATTATACGTTTGGCAGGGTACGGGCTTCAAGTGATAATCATGATTCGACCAGGACAATAACATGGTACGATTTTATCAATACGGTGATAGTGTATAAAGCCAGTATATATAATTAAGAAAAATCTTCGAGATTTTATTGAAATTCATCATATCATTATTGAGTGTCTAATATCTGATAGTGTTAGTGAATTTAGCCCGTAAATAATTGAAGTAAAATCTTCGAGATGACATTAAAATGTATCATATCAGCGAGCCTAAAATCTGCACGTAATCCTGCAGTCTCTGGCATGAAGGAGTGATGTGTGTACCTGGAGGCCCCTGATGCCGGCAGTGCGCAGGAGGGTGCGAGTGTGGGGCTGGTCGTGGGCGCTGAAGCACAGCGACGAGAACTTGCTCACTAGGAAGTCGTAGCGTCGGTGGTACGACGGCGTGTCTTCGCGGATATTTGCGAACTTCTCAAACTGCAGGACAAGTAAAAAGTCTTTAGAAGAGCTGCAGGACAAGTAAAAAGTCTTTAGAAGAGCTGCAGGACAAGTAAAAAGTCTTTAGAAGAGCTGCAGGGTAAGAAAACGTGAGTCTTTAGAAGAGCTGCAGGGTAAGAAAACGTAAGTCTTTAGAAGAGCTGCAGGGTAAGAAAACGTGAGTCTTTAGAAGAGCTGCAGGGTAAGAAAACG